GGCAGGACTTGGACCTATGTTGTTTATTGCTGCACAACATATTAGTAAAAAAATTTTTTGTTAAGTAATTTTTTATTTTAAAGGAGAGCATTTATTCAACTTTGTGGCTTTTTTTAAAAACTTATTTATTTATGCATACAGAACTGGGGTACAGGCCAGCGGTGTGGGGGTAGTGAGGTTTCACCAGAGACAGAGGGGAGCAGAACAGGCAGATCTAGGAAGTACACTGCTGAGGGGAGCAGCGGGTGGGTAAGGAGAGGTCTGCCACACCATGTGGTCACCTCCGGGGCAGGCGGAAATTGAACTCATGCGAAAGTGGCTTTAGCTTCTTAGTGCAGTGCTTTAACCCCCTGCGCCACCAGGGAGGGCCTTTTCATAGACTTTTCATAGGGTTATGTAGTGAAGATTATTGGCAGGTAGACTGAAAAAAGATTGGCTTCAAGTTGTAGAGGCTCTTGAATGTTAGACTCAGAAATTAAACTTTAAGATCTTCAACAGTTATGAATACAATCAAGGGTGAATTTTAGGAATAATAATTTAACTTAATTATATAGGAAGATTAGAAGAAAAAGTAGCTTGGAGTCTCGGGGGTTGTTGAAGGTTCCTATATGAAGTGATTTTTCTACCAGGGCAGTTAGGAATACAGAGGAATGGCTAGAATACCAGAGATTGAGACTACCATTCAGTCACGCATGAATTGATTGAGTTTGCAAGAATTAAGGAAAAGTCTCAGAGATGAACGTAAGGGTCTGTTACTATCATCTAAAGCTTTGGTAGATGTAGGTTTGTAGAAATACTTTTGAAAGAGATAAAATGTAGGCCCCAATTGGTTGATACTTCCAGCCTATTGGTCAGCAAAAGGTACAAGAATAAATAGCTGTCCATAGAGCAAATAAACCTGTATTGGAGTTGTTTAGGTAGAAGTTAAACATCTTTCTTTGAGGGAAGAGGACAAAGTGGTGCCTTTGTCAGTGCAAAGTTAGCCAACCTACATTTGCAGTGTCTTCTAGCATCAGTGAATACACTTATTATACCTAGTAAATATCATCTGCTATGATGAGAATCTATTTTGTCTTCTATTTCTACATATTTATAATATGCCATATGTGTAACGGGTACTATGTTAGGGTGCAGAAATACTATTTAAACATAAGATATTTCTACTATTAAGGTTTGATGAGTATAGTAATAGATAGGTAATCACAGGGTACAGATGGGAATTATTAGAAAAAATGCCAGCCTCCCTGAAAAGGCTAACTCCTGAGCCAGTAGACTTTAACCAGAGGCTAATAGGGAAAGATCTTTGTAAGCAGAGGAAAGAACATACTTCATGATGACTTTGAAAGAGGCCAAGCCTTGTTTGGAGAACTGTAAGTAATTTATTATGGCTGGAGCTTAGCATGTGAATGGACACTGGTGAATGAATGTGGATGAAAAAGAACTGTGTTTTGCCATGGCCTGGAATTTGGATGTTATCGTGAAAGAAATGAAAAGCAATTGAAGGATTTTAAGCAGAGTAATTGCGCGGTCTGATGTATATGTTTTAGAAAACACCCTAGAAGTAGTCAGGAGAACACATTGAAATTGACCTCTTTTGGAAACAAAGAGACAATTAATAGATTTTTCCAGCAATTTAAGCAAAAATATCAGAGTTAGCATATACTCACTAGGGAGATAAAATCAGTAAAGTTACTGGTCAGGGAGAGGGGGTGAAAGCAGGGCTGATTTTCAGGTTTTGGACTCTGCTAACTAGACAGATAGGTAGTATATGACAAAGAGAAAAAAATAAGGAAAAGAAATCAGTCTTTTTGACTCAAGATTCTTAGAGTGCCAATTTGAGAAAGGATATGGGCACTTCTTATCTTATATTTGTGTATATTTTCTTGATCAGAATTAAACACTACACTAAAAATAGTAGCTAGAGAATAAAAGATGAAAGAAAGGGGGAAAAAAAGGAAAAGGAGGGGAACTTTAATTTACCAAATTTCTAACTTTGGCGTAATTGCATTCACATACATTAACCACTTAAATTTTGAAACGAATTTTCTTAGCGTTATCTGTATCAGTTAAGATGAAGAAATACTGAGTTAAGTTTCGGCAAATGGCTAGACATGGTTTGAAATGGGCTTCTCACCCAAGTCTTTCTGACCTCAAAGCCTATTTCTTATAACTATATCACCTTATCTCTCTAGAGTTTACTGTGGCTATTATTATGTGTAGTATTTACTCATAATTCTGTGTTTAGGCTACAGCTACATGTATGAGGAAAATAAAATAGTTACCCATGTGACCTACCATCTTCTTGAGGAAATAATATCTAAATCATGAGTTTACATTGTCTTTACTTCAAATTTACAAATAGACAATTTAATGCTGAAAACAAAATCAAAAAGTAGAATTTTTGAAGAGCAAATAAACCACAAAGCAATTGTGTTGTGTGGGTTTTTTGGTAGAAGAAAATTAAGTTAATCCTGGAACGTTGTGATTGTATGTTCAACCATGACCTCTCTCATGCTTAAATTTATTTTACTTTTCCATTTACCTTACATTCTTGCTTTGCATTCTTTGCACTCCTCTTTTAGGCATGTTTACACACAGGTGGGGCAGCTGTTCATGAATACAGAGGAATGTATGTTGTCACTTTTATTTTAGGCTGGTGTCCTTTGGTAGCAAGTAGAAATTTAGGTCATAAGAATCAAACTTCCACCTGCATATGCAGAGTCATTTCTGATTTCTGTGGGTATTATAGCAGCCTATTCAACTCCTCATATTTAGAATCATTTTGCAATTTTAGTCTTCTACCTTTTTTTAAAAAAAAAAGATTTATTTATTTATGCATACAGAACTGGGGTACAGGCCAGAGGTGCAGGGGCAATGAGAGGATTCACCAGACACAGAGTGGGGAGCAGAAGAGGGAGATCAACCGAAGTACACTGCTGAGGGGAGCAGCGGGCCTCTCAGGAGGGGGGGAGGGAATAGAACTCATGCAGCAGTGGCTTTAGCTTTTTAGTGCTGTTTTTTAAGCCGCTGAGCCACCTGGGAGGGCCCACCTTCTACTTTTAATTATTTCATTTCTTGGGTTGCTGTAGTCTCCTATTCAAAATTTTTAACATCCTGCTATTTTTCTCACTGATTAAAAATACTCGATTTATTGCATCTGAAAAAATATTAAAATGTGATATATTGTGAAAAAGTATAACAGGATATATTATGAAGGGAGGTTATGGAATTCTTTTTGTAGGTCTATTATTTTAAGGTAGAGACTCATTTAGGATAGGTTAGAAAATGAGTGATCTACTTAAAGCAGGAGAATGGACTATCTTTTGTCCAGATCTTTTATTTAATGTCTGCTTTACACTCTATAAATGTTTACATGATCATTGTTGAATTGAGAAATAAATTCAGTTTTAGAAATTCCAGGAGTTTTACTTTTGCCATTTATCTTTACAATTTTTACCTCTTAAGATGGGTGTCACTTGCAGGTGAAATACAGAGATACCAAAGGTTAGAAGAAACCAAACTAACAACAAGCCCTAGAAAGCTGACTGTAGAACTGAGACTGAGGGAGGGAGGGGGTTTGATTCCAATATGTTCACCTCACTGCTTCCATAGTGTTTTCTAAAACACACATTTGACCATGTAGTTACTCTGCTTAAAATCCTTCAATTGCTCCACATTTCTTTCAAGATAGCGTGCACATTTCTAACCTTGGCAAAACACTGTGAGTACTTTGTTGGTAGATCCCTATGCCACGTAAACAAAAATAGCAGTGCAGCCCATGTTACAGCACTTAAAAACATTTCCTCCCCTTCCCCCACAAAAAAAAAGATGTGATAGATTGAGTTGTCTGTGTAAATTAGCTAATTTAGTCATAGTTGTACTGTGGCATTATGCATTTTAAAATATGAAATGATTTTCCTCTGAATGCCAACTTTGAATTTTAAGTCTTTCATTGGTGGTATGTGGAAATTAATGTTCAGTCCATGCTATTTAACACTCCTGACAGAGAAGATGTTTTCTTTATATAGCTTTGTCACATCAGTTTCTCAGGTTAAGATTTCTTTTAGACTGGTTGAGATGCTTAAATCCTTCAGGGAGAGGATGAGTAATGTCTCTTGAACAGAAAACTGGTATTGGTTTCATTTGAGATTTTTTTTTCTCCCTTAAAGGACTCTTACTCACTATGTTTATTTGTTATGTGTTCTATTCTTTTAAGTTAGATTTTCCTTCCCTAGTCCTGTAGTTTCTACACTACTTCTTAAAGCATTTGAGAAGTGCCACTTCTGGTACCAACAAAAACATAACTATAGTATTTTTAAATTTAGACTCAATGATGAGACTCAAACCTTTATTACTGAAGAGTGTTACATTGCTTTCAGATCTGTAATGATTATAGGTATCATTCAAATGTCATGCTTGCAAAAAAATTCTTCTTTAGAATAATCTTCATAAAACTTTTTTTAAGTATACTTAAAGGAAACTTTGTTTTAGTTCTTTTTGTAAAATATCTGTTAGGAAAGAATGATTGTATTCTTCACTTTGTTTAGTGGCTTCTAATATTGTAAACCAAAAATGCCTCCAAATTTCAGTATGTCTAAATGATTGTTCATTAATAAGTCTGAAAGTTTTCAGAAATGGTTAGCAGTTGATAATTTGAAATAAATTTACAAATTTCTATTTTTAGAAGTTAGAATGTATTAGAGAGATCAGTAGGGATACTCATTGGACTATTACAATTAAAGTGTTTAAAAGTTCTTAGAATAACTTCTTTTCAAATCCTACTAGAAATTATTGTTTTACAGAAACTGTTATTCTAATTGTCTTTTAAAAATGTGAAGTGATATGTTTGTTTGAGTTTAGTATTACTCTGAGAAGAACTGTATATTATAATTGCTTTTCTTCCCTTAAACCAAAATCTTTAATTTGGGACATTAGGTAATCTAAAGTTTAAATATGTGAGAAGGTAGTAACTTCTCTTTCACATTTCTTTTACTCTGCAGACTGTAAGAATTAATAATGAACAAATTACGGCAAAGTTTTAGGAGAAAGAAAGATGTTTATGTTCCAGAGGCCAGTCGTCCACACCAGTGGCAGACAGATGAAGAAGGGGTTCGTACTGGAAAATGTAGCTTTCCAGTTAAGGTAAGAGTTCATGTTCCTATAAATCTGTATGTGGAAAAGGAGCAACCTGTTGTATGAGAAACCCTGTTAATTGAGACAATTAAGAGAGAACGGTCCAGAAACTAATCCTTTAATGTTCTGCTTCAGTAGTAGAATTAACAAAATAGTGGGTTTTTTTTTCCTTTAAAGAGGAAGTTTCTTTAATGTAGGCTTGCCACACCATTTTCTCTAATTAAGGTCACTTTTAGGTTGTCAGAAATGATTGAATCCTTCAATGAAAGAAAAAGCAGTACTCGTTACATAGAATACTCAAGGTATTTGTTTCAGGTTTCAAGATTGACCACTAAAGTACCCTTTACTCTGTAAAAGTTGCATTTTTTCATTTGTTGCCTAAACCAAAATCCTTGATTTGAGAATTGTTTTTTATTAGTATAGTATGAGAGAAGGTATTTCATCTGGAATCACTACAAATATGCTAATTTTTTTAGAAAACTAGACCTAAAATATCTAAAATAATTAAATCTCAAGAATCCAATGGTTTTCAATGGGATATTCTTACTCAGTGGTAAGACAGAAGATGTGGGAGTTTGCTTTAAGGAGCTGGCATGATCTAGAAAATCTTATTTTTTTTTTAAGATTTATTTATTCATGTATACAGAACTGGGGTACAGGCCGGAGGTGAGAGAATTCATCAGAGACAGAGTGGGGAGCAGAACAGGTAGATCGACAAAGTACACTGCTGAGGGGAGCAGCGGGCAAGACAGGAGAGGTCTGCTGCACTATGTGGGGTCACCTACCTGGCTGGGGATCAAACTCATACTGAAGTGACTTCGGCTAGCTTCATAGTGCTGCATTTTAACCCTTTGTGTCACCAGGGAGGGCCCTCTTCTAGAAAATCTTGAATGAGTTAAATAATCTTTAATCATGTAAATTCTATTCCCATGCCCCACTAGTTCATTATATGAGTCAAGTATTACATATGTGGAAATGAGTGCTCTCATATTATTGGTTGCTCCTCTTAGGAGGGTAATTTGGAAATGCTAGATAAATTTTAAATGTGCTTTTCATTTGACCAGCAATCTTACATTTAAAAATTGCATTTAAAACATGGAGCTTCCCTATGACCCAGCAATCCCACTCCTAGGTATCTACCCAAAAGACACAAAAACACTGATTGAAAAAGATACCTGCACTCCATGTTTATTGCTGCTTTATTTACAATTGGAAAAACATGGAAGCAGCCTAAATGCCCAAAAGTAGATGACTGGATAAAAAAGATGTGGTACATAT